AAGAATAATAAGAATAATAAGAACAAGAACAAGAAGAATAATAAGAACAAGAACAAGAAGAATAAGAAGAATAAGAAGAAGAAGAACAAGAAGAAGAATAAGAATAATAAGAACAAGAACAAGAATAATAATAAGAATAATAAGAACAAGAACAAGAATAATAATAAGAATAATAAGAACAAGAACAAGAAGAATAATAAGAATAATAAGAACAAGAACAAGAAGAATAATAAGAATAATAAGAACAAGAACAAGAAGAATAATAAGAACAAGAACAAGAACAAGAAAAAAACCCAAGAAGAAGAGGAAGAACCAAAAAGAACACAAGTAAGAACAGTAACCAGGCCTACGTGAGTTCTCAGACAAGGGGAGCCAACTCAGCCCCGGAACAAGCCGCGGAAGAGGATGCTGGTTGTGGTAATTAATTATTCAGCCTTAATCTGATTGGTAGGGACTCGGAGCGGGGGCCGACGGGATGTCTTCTGCTCTGATTCACACACTTCCGCCTTCGGCTAGTTGTCCTTTCTGCGCATGCGCGCACTCGCGTTCTCACACATACACACACACACACACACACACACACACACACACACACACACACACACACACACACACAGACACACTCCTTTTCCCTCAAAACCGTTTTTTTTTTTTACAGTAACATGGTTCGCATGCCTTAAGCTTTTCACTATATAAGAATGGACAATAATAAACGTGTGTAACTTAGATCTGCTTTAGAAAAAAATTTGCATGGCTAAGACAGCCTATTGAATTATTGAAAGCTACGAAAGCGCCGAAGTTTCCCCTTCACTTAACCGTTTAGTGAGAAAAAGCGGCATACAGTCTTCATTGAAAGGCTGATCGAAATATTATAAGCTTATTCATGTATATTGGAAATTTCAAAAGGTAATATAAAGGTCCTCATACTACCATTTGGTTAGGGGAAAATACTGCTTCACAGAGACCTTCTGTCGTAGTTATTTAGGCAAATGCATTCGTAGGGCGGTATATTATTAGGGTTATCTTATTTAGGCCACATGTGGCCTAAATAAGCTAAACCCCCCTCCCTTACCTTATTTAGGCCATATGCGGCCTAAGTAAGCACTCCCTATTATTATTGCTACTATTATCCTTATCACAATTATTATTATTGTTATAATTATTATACAATTATACGAGTATAATGCATTTCACAAACATGCTATCACGCCCGGGGCGGTGCTATACTGACTTAAGTGTCTTTAGGCCATTCCCAAAGGGGGGACATAAACATGTTCTATGCACAATAGAATTGTAATTGTAAATGGGCTGATTCGTCAATGTCATTGAGCCTGAACTGCTACCTGGCAACTGCTGCTTTTTCTTTCCTTATCCTTACTATCGTCATTTTTTCTTCTACTTACGACAGGGCATGGAGTAAAAGCCTCCTATGGAAGATGACACAGACAGGAATCCACGGGAAACTCTACAGATGGGTGAAGACCTTCTTTACTACAGACAGGACAATCCAGACCAGGATGAACAATGGTGTGTCATCCAAAGCTGTACTGGAGCAGGGCTTACCCCAGGGTCCCTCACTGAGCTGCTCACTTTTCCTTGTTTTCATCAACGACCTGCCTGAGATACCGAAATCGGAAAAGGTCCTTTATATGCCGATGACATAGCCATCTGGCATTCAAGTAAACAAGCTGGCATCAGTGCATGACTTTTAACGATGACCTAGATGTATTTGACAACTTCTGCTGAAAGTGGAAACTAAAGGCAATTGTACCAAGACAATCTACACCGTGTTTACGAAAAGTCACAAGGTCGCAAAGCAAAATATCACCATCTCACTTGCAGGAACCAAATTCGAAAAAAGTTGAAAACCCAGCCTACCTCGGGATCGAGCTGGACAGGCAGTTTTCATGCAAAAGTCATATCAGTAACCTGAAGACTAAGACAAACAAGAGACATAACCTTCTCTGACGGCTGGCGGGCACCTCATGGGGAGTGGACAAGGATGAACTCAGACAGCTATATGTTGGCTATGTACGCTCTGCCAGGGAATAAAACTTAACCCTACAGACAATCTGCAGCAGACCAACTCAGAGGTCTCTTGACAAAATTCAGAATCAAGCTGTACAATTTATCTCAGGAGCTTTGAGATCCCTCCCCCCCCCCAACTGCAGCTTGCAAAATTCACACAAGCCTGGAACCCTTGGACCGGCGGAGAGAGGCAGCAGTCGTGGAGATGAGTGAGCGCTACAAAAGGCTAGAGAAAAACCACCCAAACAGAAAGATCATTGAACAGAGATAACCAAAGAAACGAATCCACGGATGATCAATACTCGACACAGCCACCGAATTAGTAGAGAAACACCATCTTCTATGTAACAGAGAAATGCTGAAATCCTTAAGACCAGAACTCTCACCAAACACTAACATCAAGAACGTCAACATCAAGACTTCCCTCATAAAGGAGTCAGTGAAAAAGAAATGTGACCCAGTAGAACGGAAGACCACAGCTCTCAAAACAATTGACTCCTACCCTAGTGATTCAATCCATATTGACACTGATGGGTCAGCCTTCCAGGGAACAATTAATGCTGGCTTTGGAACAAGAACAGAACATCATGACAAGACGTGTGAAGAACTATTTGATGCCTGTGGTACTTCTTGTACAAATTACGAAGCTGAGGCTATCGCCATTGAAGCAGCAATCCTCCACCTGACCAACATTTTCACTATACCCAGACAAAATCAAGGATACTGTAATCTTCACAGACGGAAAATCAGTACTCCAAGCTTCGGAAAACTTGAATTTTGAAAGCCCAGCTTGCCTATCTGTGGCTCAAACAACTAACACTTTCATGCAGACCTATGCTGTCGACCTGACTTTACAGTGGATACCTGACCACAGCAACATCCCAGAAAACGAGAGAGGAGACACCCTTGCCAAGAAGGTAGCATCACAGACACAACCTCAAAACCCAGTATCACAACAGACAGTCAAGAACATCATCAAATGCAATACCAGGGAACAGTGGCTGAATGGGTGGGCATTGGGAAAAGTGGAAGAGCTGTATTTGAACTCATGACTGCTCCCAACTCAAATAACGCACTAATTCCCTCAGTAGAAGAGAACAGGTCTATATCTTTCGTCTGCGAACACAATATATCCCACTGAATTCGTATTTAAATAGAATCCACAAGGATACCCCACCTGACTCCCCATTGTGTGACTGCCAGGATGAAACAGTATCACACCATCTCTTTACCTTCCCTGCACTTTGCGACCTGCGTAGCGTCTACTTACCTGCCTCCCCAGATATCGGAAATACTTTATACAGCGCAGCGACAAAACACAGCTGATAAAAACCCGTAAATTCACTGCCAATCGACAGGCCGAAGAGCTAGAACCCAGATGGCCGCTGGATCGGAAAAGTAAAGTAAAAGTCCTCTACTTCTTATGTATGTTTGTCACACTCTTGTGACCCTCTATTTCCGGGGTGCCTTGATAGTCGAAGAAGACTTTGTGCCCTTGAAGCTAGAAAGGTGAGCAGAGTAAGCCTGATTCCCTGCATGGACTTCTCTCTTGACACTCAATTCATCCCTTGGCACTCATATGGCCTTATGCAGTTGCGAGCGCCGTAAAAAACTCTACTAAAACTAAACTAAAAACTAAACAAACATGCTAATGCCGGTCCCAACAGCCATAGCTCTGCGTGACCCACAAACACCAGACAGACCCCCACTCTGCACTAAAAGGAGCTCAGTTATTAAGTACACTCGGCCATAAATTTTCGAATCTCTGCAGTTTATTGCACAGGCAATTCCTGGACACGACGACGATTTATGATCGCCGTGTCGTCGTTAAGACAAGAGTAATTTGTGGTCACACCCTCCTGACAGTCTGTTTTGTTTCTGATCCTTATCCGTCCTTTTGGCTGGACCCCCGTTCAGCTTTTCCTTTGTTCTTTTTCAAGATTTTATTTTTCCCCATTCAGCCCGAGGTGGCAACAACCCACAGACTTACGAAACTGTAACATCCTAGATTGTGTACTGTCATGGCCGCCACTCTCTTCTCTTAAATTAAAAAAAACCCAAACCAAACAATCAATTACCCCCCCCCCCCCAACAACTTTGGTACTTAGAAGCGTTCCCAGGCGACGAAATGAAAGGCAAAACGGGGGCTCTCGTGGCTTATAGGTTAAGGTGTTCGCCTCTCATTAAATAAGTCTCGGTTCGGAATCCGGATAGCGACCGCAACATTTTCTTTTCTTAAATTTTCTCCTTTCACCTCCTTTCCTGCTCTCTAACAATGTTCTGTCATCTGATTTCGTCTCCTTTTTCTGCGCCCACCCCCTCACCTCCTTTGCCCCCTCCTCTTGACTCCTGACTCTTTTTGCAGCCTTTCTACTGCTACTCCTTGGCTCCTTCTTACAGGCTGTCTTTCAACCATACCCCTGATCTTTTGGTAGGAAAGATCTACACACCTAGTCTTCTCGGACAAGGGCGAACAACCTCGGAGGTCCCGTGTGCAAGTTGCGCACGTTAAAGATCCCTTTGTGGTCTAAAATCGATAAAGAGTAGGCTTAGGCCGCCACCAGGGCAAAAGTCAAAATTTCCTACCTACTGAAAATGTTTAGAGTCCCGCGCGCTCATCATAATATGACCTTATGCAGTTGCGAGCGCCGTAGAACACTTACGTTAAACATCTCCTATCAAATTTTGTAGGCAGGCTTGGCTTTATTACAAAAAGTACAAATATGCAGTATGAATGTAGTTGTCGTTTCACTGAGACCTTTTTTCCGGGTCCCCTGGTCCACACCCAAAGTTTGTAGAGAACAGCAGAATAAATATCGCCAGTCATAATGCATGTATTGACATAACATCCTGTATGTCGAGAGAGGAAACACGTTAACAAGTATGTTTGTTTATGGAAGGGCTTTATACAAGTAGGTTTGGCTCCGTTTCTGTTTAAGGAAGGAGAGAGAATGAAGGGATATATGTGTGTGTATGAGAGAGAGAGGGAGAGAGAGAGAGAGAGCGTGTGTGATAGAGAAAGAGCGTGTGTGATAGAGAAAGAGAGACAGAGAGATACAGATAGACAGACAGACAGACAGACAGACAGACAGAGAGGGGCTGGGGATTTCTATTGTGGAAGCGCATGGTGAATCCAGTGAATGTGTTCTTTGTATTATTGGAAAGCGCTTTGAGCAAAATCTTTGCGGAAATGTGTTTTATGTGACATTTATTATTGCTATCATTTATTATTATTGTCACTTTTCTCCTTCCTATTTCTTAACTAGAAAAGAAAATGGGTCTCTTAGAGTTTGGATGGGGGCTCTCGTGGCCTAGAGGTTAAGGTGTTGGCCTCTCATTCAAAGGTCCCGGGTTCGAATCCGGGTAGCGAGCGAAACATTTTCTTCTCTAAAATTGTCTCCTTTCACCTCCTTTCCTGCTCTCTAGCAAAGTTCTGTTGTCTGCTCTCATTTCCATTTTCTGCCCCCACCCTCTCACCTCCTTTGCCCCCTCCTCTGGGCTCCTGACTCTTTCTGCAGCCTTTCTACTGCTACTCCTTGGCTCCTCCTTACTGCTGTCTTTCTGCCACACCCCTGATCTTCTGCCACACCCCTGGTCTTCTGGTAGGAAAGATCTACACCTAGCCTTCTCGGACAAGGGCGAAAAATCTCGGAGGGCCCGTGTGCAAGTTGCGCAAGTTAAAGATCCCTTGGTGGTCTAAAATCGGTAAGAGTAGGCTTCGGCCGCCACCCGGGCAAAAATTCGAAATTTCCTACCAACTGAAAATATTAGGTGTGTCCCGCGCGCTCATATGACCTATGCAGTTGCGAGCGCGTAAAACACTTTACAAAAACAAAAAAGAGTTTGGATGAGGGGCCCCATCTAGTAGCAGTTGGTCCAATAAGCTAAACGTCGACTCAAGTTGTTTCAGAACTTGTGTTCTCAGTCTGCTCTTTAGTTTAGTAAGAATTTTACGGCAATTGCAGCACAAATGGGTCATAAGTCAAGTGCCGAAGATTAGAGGAGTTTCTAGAAAGAGCGAATTGCTTAGGACGAATACAAAAGCGACAGGCAAAGTTCATTGGACACACAATGTGGAAATAAGGATTGGAGAACATTGTAACAGCAGGCAAGTTTGATGGAAAGAGAGGCAGAGGCAGACAGAGGGAAAATATATGGGACAGGTTGACAGCAAGGCTGGGAACAGCAAGAACGACAGACACAATCACTGCAACGCAGGAAGTAGAGATTCATGATCGCCCACGCCAGTCGGCAAGGCACCGGGTGATGAACATCCAAAGAAGAGAAGGAAGAGATTAGGACGACAGAAGTTTGATTTCGATGGGAAAGAAGGAACAAACCACACCAGAGATCTTCTGGTAGGAAAGATCTACACCTAGCCTTCTCGGACAAGGGCAAAAAATCTCGGAGGGCCCGTGTGCAAGTTGCGCACGTTAAAGATCCCTTGGAGGTCTAAAATCGATAAGAGTAGGCTTTGGCCGCCACCCGGGCAAAAATTCAAAATTTCCTATCAACTGAAAATGTATGGTGAGTCCCTTGTGCTCATCGTATGACCTTATTCAGTTGCAAGCGCTGTAAAACACTGACCAAAACAGGGCACCCGCCAACCACCCACAGAGGATTATTTACTTACTTACTTACTTGGTACTTACTTGATTGAAGAATAGGCATCATTGCTGGCGGCATAATGCTATAGCTGCTCCTCCTTCCTCTCCAGGATCCATGAAAGGGTTTTAGTTTAAGTTTTAGTAAGAGTTTTACGGCACTTGCAACACAATAAGGTAATATAAGTGCCGAAGAATAGATGTGTCACAAGAGAGCAACATACACAGAA